GAAGAGTTTGTTAAGAACTGGCTCAACAACGTCTTCGACAGCAGACCGGCCGATTTTTGGCGAAACGGCATCAACAAATTGGTCGATAGATTGGAGGAGGTCGCAAACAGTAATATGAGGATACATCACTGACTAATTTGTTGTTATAATTATTATTTTTTGTTAAAATAAATCTTTGTGAAAAAACTCTACGAACTTATGTTACAACCCAATAGAACTAGGCCAACGCAACTTTTTGAAAAAAATGTTGAAATAACTACACATAGGAAGAGATGAATTATGAAGACGTTCCAATTATGAAGAATTAGTGAAGACGACGAGACAGTGATTTCTCAAAGGCTGCTAGGGGCCCTGGGATCCATATTTTCTGCTCATTTTGAGATGACTCGATCCAGCTCAGGACTGAAAAGTTCTCTCCATTTGAGTTTCTTTCTCATCGGCCAAGAGGTGAACTTGGCCGATGAGTAAGAAACTCTAGATCTGGTGTTCTTGTTTAAAACCTACTCAAGTGTATAAGAAAACCGAGTTCAAAATTCTTGAGAGGTTTGCCTTCTTGATAGCTTTCAACCGATTGTTCGAAATCCATCGAACTATTGTGTGGAAATTGGAGAAGTCGATTGCTTTGCAACGCGAAGAGACTCAACGCTGTTCCCTGATAATGTGTCTCGTAGTGCTGTTATGGGTAGAACCTAGGACATCTGAACTATTCCAAATATCCATCCACTGGATGGAGCTTTAAATTTTCTCCGAAGGAGTTTTCCAAGCCTTGGTGAGGCAGCAACTTGGAGTGTTGGCTCACAAAGAATACTTTCAGTCTTGCTAGTTATTTCGAGGTAAAAATGTGGAGGGTTATGTTCTCGGCGTTAATCTGTCTGCTCTCTTATGCGCTTACGCATTCGACCTCCATTTAGAATCGTAGTACCGTTTTGAATGCGTATCTGGCCTGTAAGATGATTTGCGGTGTTCAACCTTTCAACAAGTCAGTGCTATTCACTTACTCTTACTGTATTCTAATCGTGATATCAAGCTCTTTGTTAAACTGTAAAATGTTCCTCTGTCTATGTTGCTCTTTCTTCAGCTTATTTCCTCACATTGAAGGTTTGGATTATATATTGGCAAAAAATACTTTCCTGTGGGTTGAGCTGTTTCTCACAGCGTAATGGTACCAAATTTCAAGGTTTCAAGTGCGAATCGCCAAAGTATTCGGCTACGACATTCTCAACTACTGATGGCTTTTTTCACTTCCACACCACTTTCATCGCCGAGTTCACGTTACAATGCAGCAACAACATCAAGGTTGGGTTATTTGATTCCCGTTTATATCTGGTTTTGTTGNTCCGGTATTCGCCTCTATAGTAAGCTCTGTCTTTACTCAGGGTAAAAGCCATGAGTGATGAGGTACGTAAAAACCCAGCGAATGTCTTATTCAGGGGCGAGCCAGGTATTTACGTTATTTTCGGAATGGTTCAGATACATCAGTAGTGAGGGTAAGTTAAGTGAAATTGTAGTATTATTCGAATCCGCGAAGGTAGCGACATTCTTAGGCAATGTATAGGTTGGAGTTGGTGATCTGATTGTTTTTAGGATTCCCCCTTCTTTGCCGTTATCAATGGTAACATTTACAACGTAGCTGTTTCCATTGAGACTGCCAAATATCAGGTATGCAAGTTCAGTTTATTCATGTGAATCTCTTATCTTTTGTTAGTTGGTTAATTATCGATAAATATTGTTTGGTGGGCAACTGGGGCAGTCAGTACCTAAATAGAGTCCTTCATATTCAGTGACGTGCACCTGCTCTCGTAGTTTCATTCGTTCAAACTGTCTGAACAACTTTGCTGGCGACATGCTCTTCTAATGTCTCGTCCAAATACAACAATTTTTTTGAGCAGTCTGTTCTAATCTTTTGTGGCGAGATTTTTTTCTCCGTGGTTCATGTATCTCATCAGCACGGTCTCGGTAGTGTAAGGGATAGAGCACGGTGCCCGGAAAGCACAATTACGGGTTCGAGTCCCGTCCGAGACTGAAGTTTTGTCCTTAAATCGCCATCCTCGTGAGTCTTTCGCATCGCGTACTGCGGTGTTAAAACAGCAGT